CATCACAGTACACGCCCAATCTGCTCCTCTCCATCAGAGCACATGCCCAATCTGCTCCTCTTCATCACAGTACACCCCAATCTGCCCTCCCCTCCATCACAGTACACGCCCAATCTGCTCCTCTTCATCAGAGCGCACGCCCAATCTGCTCCTCTTCATCACGGTACACGCCCAATCTGCTCCTCTTCATCACAGCACACGCCCAATCTGCTCCTCTTCATCACAGTACACGCCCATTTTGAGGATTTGAGCCCCCTCCCACACGCGTCTCTCGCAAGCCCTTGCTCTAGGGTCGGGCAACTGGGGATCACCCGACCCCTTGGGCAGCCCTCACAAGGAGGCCAGCGAGCCCAGCAGCAGGAGTGTGGTGGGCAGGGAGTGAATGCATCACCCTCAGCGCAGTGTGCTGGTCTCTAAGCCTTTGAGTGGGCCTGCAGCCGAGGGTGCATGCCATGCGGCTTCTCAGAAGGGCTGCGCTGCGGGAGCCAGCACTGTGCGCACCCCACCCATGCTATTGCATCCATCAGCACCTGCGCGTCTCTCCCGTGGCTCCTTTTAGCCACGCATCCGCAGCAGCTGGCAGAAGAAGACTCGGACGTGGCTCGCTCTCTCGCACGCGTCTGCCTCCCCTAGCGGATGCACAGCACCTGTGTGTGTTTCGGTTCAAGGGTTGGGGGGTGGGGGCACATGGTGCTGGACCCCCTCCAGCAAGAGTGCTGATCTCTGCAGTAGTTGCTGTGTGCCGTGGACACTGAACACAAACACACGTCCGTACCTAAAGCAGAGAGTACCTAAACCCTATGAAACATGAATCTGGAGATGCCAGGCAGTTGCTCTGGACACACCCACACACAGCCCTCTGAGGGTGGGTTTCCCTCCATCTCCCTCCCGTCCCCGGGGACTCTGTGCGCTTCCACGGACACCACCTGGATGGTCTCAGGGGGCTCAGACCACGCTCCTTTCCAATGGGGTTCGTTTGGGGACCAGAAAGAAGTCTGGGAGGGCAAGATCAAGGTTAGGGGGCCCTGGAAGATAGTCTCCCCACACCTGGGACAGCCCCCGCTGCCCTCGGTGAATGAGCCAGGTGCCTGGTTGTGATGGAAAACATTCCTCCACGGCCTGCCCGCCCTTCTGCCCCCCAGGGCAGATTCCGTTTTCTTCGACTTTCCCCAGGAGGTCCCCTCGATTGTTCTGAGTCTCTTGAGAATATCTGTTAGGGTGACCCCTTAGGAAACCCTCCCCTAACAGTCGCCACCATCACCTTCAGAACTGACCTGGTATTGATCTCGCCCTACAGGGCCCCTTAGAACCCACTGTTCTGATCGGGCCTCCTTTGGGGGGAGACTGAGGCACTTGTGAGTGCGAGAGCCTGTCTGCACCCCCACGGAGCGCAGAGACCAGCTCAGCACGCTTTTGTTTGGAATAAGCCAACCTGGGGCCCTTGTAGCAATGTTTTGTCTAAAAAGAGCTGGCCAGGTACACCCCGTGGGCAGGTAGCAAGTATCTGCTGCACAAATAAAGGGCCTGAGATAGGACTTGAAATTCCCTGCACACACGGGCGTCTGACTGTGGCCCTGTTCGACTTCGTGCATGGTAGTCATGACGTGTGAAGGGAAGTGGAGGCGGTGTCTCGTCCTCACAAGAGGTAGGGGCGGGTGACCCAGGCAGGAAACGTCACCTTAGAACATCGTCATGTTCAGAGCGTGACCAGAGTTCACGGACATGCCTGGCTTTCCACATAGCAGACTCGTTTCATTGGTTGGCAAGGGTGAGCCGAAGCTTGATGTGTAAGCTGTTCTGACTCCGACCAAGCCGTGGGGCAAAGCCTATTGAATGACCGTGGGAGATCAGGGAAGCCGAGTTTCTGCGATTATGTTTCCAACATCAAACCTGCAGCTGAGGGCATTGTTTCTGTTCACGTCATTGTCCAAAGCGGTCGAACTGACGTGGACGCGACGCTGGAGAAAGCACAGGTGGTGGTCAGGGGCCATCAAGTGGACCCCGACCCGTCGTGACCCCATGCACAACAGAGCGAAACACTGCCCGGTCCCCTGCCAGCCTCACCATTTTTTTTAGGCGTAAGCACATGGCTGCAGCCAGTGTCCGTCTGTCTTGTCGAGGGCCCGCCCCTTCATCACTGCCAAGCAGGAGGTCCTTCTCTGGAGGCTGGCTCTCACCCGATACCACGTCCCAAGTTTGTAGCTGGTCATTCCGTGAAGACCCTCTGTTAATGGGGCATCTGAAATCCTGGAAGGTGGGGTTGGCTTGGGGTGGATAGGGGGCCCCCCTATGCCCCTTTGAAGGACGTCCCCAGGCCTGTGACAGTCCACTTGCCTCGCCGTTGCTCGTGGCCCGGGTGGGTGATTGGGTTCTGGGCTCTGTCTGTCCCACAGGCAAGCATGCAGAAGACATATTCGGCGAGCTGTTTAGCGAGGCCAACAGCTTCTACGTCCGAGCCAACTCCCTTCAGGACAGGATCGACCGCCTGGCCGTCAAAGTGACCCAGCTGGACTCGACCGTGGAAGAAGGTAGGTCGTGGTGCAAAGCCATTGGGCTAGCCGGATGCGGTGTGGACAAGCCCCTGGCCCTTATCAGCTCCCGGTCACTGCTTTCTTCCTGAGGCAGGATGCTGCTGTTTTCACGAAGAACAGAGGCAAGGCCCCAACCATGGGGTCAGTTGACGATTCAAACGGTTCCTCTCTTCGAAAGAACTACCAGTTCAGGATTTGTTTGAAAGGATCCTTCTAATGCCTTCAGTGCCCAGAGCCCCCCAAAAGGCCACTGGCGATTCTTACAAACATGATTTTTCATCTAAAACTCTCAGAATCTCTTCCCAGGTATGGTCCAAGTGTCAGGGAGGCTTGACCCCCTAGAGGCCACTGAGTGAGTCTTTGCCCTCACTGCCATCGAGTCAATCCCAACTCAGAGTGACCCTGCAGAACAGGGTAGAACTGCCCCCTCCTGGGGGGCTGGGGGCGGTTCCCAGGCTGCAACTCTTTATGGTTTCGAACTGCCGACCTTGCGGTTGGCAGCCCAACCTGTAACCCACTCTGCCACCAGGGCTCCCTTTGCTGTGGCATCTGCCCTGGAGAACATCTCGATGCTTCAGTGGATGGATAAGTTTTATTAATCATTTTATTAAGCTTGGCAGAAGCAGCATTTTCTGGAAGCCTCAAGGCTCTATGGCTTTTAAATCATGTTCATATGGGGGTAAGGGAGCCCAGGTGGCACTGGCCGAGAGCTTGCTTGGCTGCCTACCTGAAAGTCAGCAGTTCAAACCCACCAGCCATTCAAAGGACGAGAGATGAGGCTGTCTGCTCCTGTCAAGATCAACAGCCGCAGAACCCCCCACGAGCAGTGCCACTCAGCCCCACGGGGTCCCGCCGAGCCACTCGCTTGACGGCAGTGGGTTTTTTGGTTTTAGTGCAAACATTGTGTTAATGAGCAGTCATTTTACCGTCCTACTTGGAAGTAGTAGCCATTTATTAAGGAAAGTTAAAAAGGGAGTCTACTTTAAAAACATGGACATCAGTGCCTACTGAATGAGAGTCTGAGATTAAACCCCCAAAAAAGAAGTGAGATGCACCCCTTCACGTTTACTTGAAGAATAGTCTGGCTGTGAATTGTTTTTACATTTATATACTGGAAATCTCTCTGTCTCTGTCTGTGTGTGTGTGTGTGTGTGTGTCTCTCTCTCTCTCTTGGCTGAAAAAGCCCCCTTATCTGGTTTCCCGCTCCACTTACGTGGCTGCCTTGGGGGAGTGAATGAACTCCGATGCGTTCAACAGTAGTTGTGTGTGGACCCCAGCCCCCTTTTACTGTAGAGAGAGATGGTCACTTATCCCGTCTCTCTTCAAAGGGCGAAATCAAACTGGGGACTGAGAAATGCAGGACATGAGGGTGTGTGCAGCCCACACAGTGAGCCTTCTCCTCGCTGCCTCTCCCAACAGCATGCCCAAGCTGAAGACACAGGTTCTTTACACGCACGCACGCACGCACGCCCACGTGCGCACACACACAGAATTGAAACAACCTGCTCTGCTCAGATAGACAAGTTTCATGCTTCACGTGAATCAACCTGCCCTTCAAATTGGTTCCACAAGGACTTTTTAGTACATCTTACATTTGGCCAGGGTAGGGTGGAGGGTGGGGATGGCTCTCACACATGGCGAGCCTGTGGGACGGAGTCTCTGGGGACGTTTTGCCTGCAGGGGACATGGTGCCTCTTAAACCCTCACATGTGTCTCCCACTAAGAACCCTGCCCTGCTACAGTCCTTGGCTTGGGTGGTGTGGGAGAGAAGGCACTTGGCTCGAAGTTAGGGAGCCCATTGGGGCCTGTCCCTCCCGCCCTCCCCCATGGGTCTGGAAAGCCCCGTACATCGCTGGCGCCGAGCTTCAGCAGTCACTCGGCTGGCTGTCCCCATGTCGCAGAATTCCCAGGGTTCGTCAGGGTGAGGTGTGGAATGCCCAGCCCCAGCCCCAGCTGAGACCAGACTCCCCGCGTGGCTTTGTCACTGAGATCATGCCACTGAATTTCTGCAACTAGAGGAGTGTGGCAGCACCCTGCCGTGGGCCCTTCACGTGGGTGTCAGAAAACCCTGGTGCTTCCCAAGAACCTGTCTCACAGTCACTACGTGTGTCCCCTGTCACCAGATCCTGCCTATCTTGTTCATCTGCACATGCCGGGCCTGGGCTCACTCGCAGTTCTCCCCAAAGCCTCCCTTTCCTCTGTCTTGGGGGCTGGTGGGGGTCTGAGTATATTTTTCTAGCGAGCCCCGATGGCGTACTGGGTTAGGTCTTGAACTGCTAACTGCAAGGTCAGCAGTTCGAAACCTCCAGCCATTTCATGGGAGAAGGATGAGGCTTTCTGTTTCCATAAAGAGACACTGTGTGAGAAACCCACAAGGCAGTTCCACCCTGTCCTGTCAGTTGCCCTGCTGGACAGCAGCGAGTTGTAGTGTATTTTCAGCCCCAGTATTTCCCGTGACGAATCATTAAAGGGAACTGAACTGTTTGAAAGACTTCCTTCTGAGACCCCAGAATCCGTGTGTTTCCCTGACTGCACTCTGAAGGGTTTCTGAGAAGTCTGGCTTCAATAAAGGGTGGAGATCAATGAAATACTCCAGACTTGGGCTTGGTCCTCTGGAGAGAACGGCAAGGCACGTGCTCACGTGCTCACGCAGCAGGGTCTGAACGGACCCTAAACGCCGAGTTTGGGTAACGAGTCCAACTGTCCTCACTTCTCTGAGGGCTAAGGGATTCCCCATGCGAGGTGGCAGGGGCTTCCAGCAGCTGCATTTTCCCCCATGGTCTCGGGAAGCCCCCTCACCACACTGCCTGGGGGCGGGGCTTGTCTCCCAACAGTGTCCCTGCAGGACATCAACATGAAGAAAGCCTTCAAGAGCTCCACTGTCCAGGACCAGCAGGTGGTGTCCAAGAGCAGTGTGCCCAACCCGGTGGCCGACATCTACAACCAGAGCGACCCGCCACCCCCGCTCAACAGCCTGACGCCATACAGGTACCCAGGGGTCACACCGTCTTCACAAGGGCTACGATCCACACGGTCGGCAGTTTGAAACCAACAGCAGCTCCAAGGGAGAAAGACTGGGCTTTCTACTGCTGTCAACAATTACAGTCTCACAAATCCATGGAGGAGGGGGCGGGAGCGGAGTGGGGGTGGGGGTGGCAGTATGGTGTCACTATGAGTCAGCATTGACCTGATGGAGGAGAGGTTCGCTTGGGTTTTTTTTTTCACTGTCTTTACGAAGGACCCTGGCAGTACTGTGTGAGGCGTTGAACCCTAAGCCATGGGGTCGGCGGTTCAAACCACCAGCAGCTCCTGGGGAGGAAGATGAGGCTGTCTGCCCCCTTAAGGGCTCCCAGCAGTCTTGTGGGGAGCACAGTCAGAATCCTGTGACCGCAGTGGGCTGCTGGTTTTCGGGCTGCCTTTCCAAGTGGTTTCCAGCCGAGTGTCCAGTGTCTGTAGGAGGACGGGATTGGTCGGCGGCACCGCATGCAGAGACTTTGAGAACTGAGGGCATTCCTCGTCTCCCTCAGAGAAGGAGCACTCGCGCTTTCTTATTAAAGGATGTTGTCGATTCCTCTTCATCTCTGAAAGAGCCCCTGGTGGTGTGGGACAGGAGGTTAAGCATTCGGCTGCTGACCTCAGGGTCCGAGGTTCCAACCCACCCGCTGCTCCACAGGAGAAAGACAAATTTGTCTAAGGAACCGAGGGGCAGCCTGCTTGGGGTGGTAGTGTCAGGGGGAGCTGGAATCACCCCCATCGCAGTGGGTGTTAGGTGTTTCAACACTGTGTGGCAGCACTGGTGGGAGGGGTTAGCGTCCACCCTTGGAAAGCAGGGCCATCTCCATTATGTGAATCAGTAGGGCATATACATCACTTCAGGGTGATGCTCAGTGGGTTACACATTGGACTGCTGAACCACAAGGTCAGCGGTTCAAAACCACCAGCCCAGCTGTGGGAGATAGTCCAGGCTCTCTCCTCCCATAGAGTCCCAGCCTCAGAAACCCACAGGGGCAGTTCTGCCCTGTCCTGTGGGGTCGTGGTGACTCTGCCTGGACCCCTTGGCCGTGAACATGGATGAGAATGAGGGTCCTTAAGGTGGCCCAGGTGCCGGGGGCATCTGCCCTGGAGTCACCGCATCTCCTGCTGGGAAAGTTTTGTGCACAGGCAGCCGGCTGGTTTCTGACCTGCCTTGTTGCTGGCAGAGATGACAAGAAGGATGGGCTCAAGTTCTACACGGACCCCTCCTACTTCTTTGACCTGTGGAAGGAGAAGATGCTGCAGGACACGGAGGACAAGCGCAAGGAGAAGAGGCGACAGAAGGTGAGCCGGGCGGTAAGCGGGGGCACCGCAGGGGGAAGCAGCACTGCCAATGGGGTGCCGCCTGCCAGGGTCCCTGCAGTGCTGCGTGGCTAAGGAGGTAGGGCGAGTGTGTTTGCTGAGAAGGCCCTGGCTGCTCTCCGGTGCATAACACCTTAGTCCGCCAACACTGCCTGCTTCCAGCTCTGAAAACCAAGTCGGCTTCCCTTCTGCTGTGGTCTGAGGTGTGCCCACCATTCCCGCCTGCCTGGTCATGTCCCTGGCCCCGCTGTCTGCGCTTCTTTGTTTCAGCGTTCCTCCTGGTGGGTGGCCACTTGGCCAGACTAAGGTCCTGGTGGGAGGAACAGCGCTGTGACGGGTCAGGGGACAGTGTTGTGAGGGGCAGGTCATAGAACAGTGTTGTCAGGGACAGGTCAGAGGACAATAATGAGGGATGTAAGGTAGATTTGGCTACGGAAAGAAAGAAAACAAAGGTAGAGAACCGTTTTAAAGGTTTATTTCTGAGCTCCTGGGCGAGGTTCATGGGTCCCCAGTTGGGGGCCCATGAAGTCACACTCTCCAGGCCAGAGGTGAACGTGGGTCTGGGGGGAGGGAGCAGCTGGGGGATTTTCCATTGGGGTTTGGCTGTCTGCAAGGCCGGGATGAAGCTACAATGTTATGTGCAATGGTCAGCCTCCTGTATCTGGGCCTGGAAGGTCACTGAAGGGGAGGGGGAGGCTGGCCTCTAGCAGTGTCCTTGAAGTGTTTTCACCAGTCCCAGGTATCTTTACACTCACCTGCCCTGACAACTCCCGATTCTGTCCAACATTCCGGTCTTTTGGTGATAAGGGGTGTCGAATGCCACGTTCATGCTGAGCTGGGCCAGAGCCCAGGCCTTGTGCACCACGTGGTCACCACTGCAGGCCATGGGCACAGGTTCCTGACTGAGGCCCGGGCCCCAAGCAGCCACGCATAACCCAGCAGAGGTCAGACAGAGTGCGGGGGGGTGGG